TCCCAGATTTCCATTTCCCTGCCTCCAATCTCCTCTCTGCTGTTCCCAGATTTCCATTTCCTTGCCTTCATTCCCCACTCCTGTTCCCGGATTTCCATTTCCCTGCCTTCAATCCCCACTCCTGTTCCCAGATTTCCATTTCCCTGCCTTCAATCCCCACTCCTGTTCCCACATTTCCATTTCCCTGCCTCCAGCCCCCTCTCTGCTGTTCCCCAGGCGGTGCCAGGGAAGCCCGGCTGCCTCAGCAGGTATGCTCTCATTAACGAGCAATTAGCTCCCAGCCTAATTGGGCAGCAGCATGGCTAACGAGCCCTGGCCGGCTGTGCCCTCGCTGTTTGAGCTCAGCCAGGGGTGAGGCTGAGCCTCTGTCCCGTGTCCTCAGAGCTGCTCCAGGGCTGGTGGATTCTGCTCTCTTGCGCTGGAAAAGCTTCCCTGAGCCCTGCCCATCCACCCTCCCTGTCTGTCTGTCTGTCCGTCCCCTCTCGCTCACTCAGGGGGTTTCTGCTCTCTCCTCTGTGTTCACGGCACGCACAAACCTTTAACTGGCCGTGCCCACACCGATATTTCGGTTGGCATTTGTCACCTGCACACAGGGCTGGGAAATGCCCCCTGGTCCCACCGGGCTCTCCCCGCCCTGGGGATGCCCGAATTTCTCTCTCTGAGGAGGTTTCTGCTTTCCCGAGCACGGCACAGACGCTCCAGGCTGGAATTCCTGAATTCCCGATTCCCGAGGATCTGCTGCCATCCCGTGGCGAATCCTGCCCTGGCACCCGGGGACGAGAGCCCAGGGAAAACAGCTCCTGTGACAGCTCTCACCTGTAGGGGATGATGCTCTCCATTGCTCCAGGTAAATCCAGGTACAAACAGCTCCTCTCACCTTTAGGGGATGCTGTGATCGCTGCTCTCCATTGCACCAGGTAAATCCCGGTAAATCCAGGTACAAACAGCTCCCCTCACATCTCTCACCTTCAGGGGATGCTGTGATCGCTCTCCCCTCACTCCCGGTAAATCCAGCGGGACTCACGGAGCAGCGGCTCGGGATGGGTCCCTGCAGGGCCGGGGCAGTGAGAACAGCCCTGGGGGCTGCAGCATCCCCTCCTCCGGCTGCACAGCCCAGAACCACAGGACAGAGCAGGAGGTGGAAATAAATAACCCCAAGCACACTGAAATTGTGGCGCTGCATGACAAACCCTGGAGCCAAGAGGATTCCAGGCTCCCAAAGCCTTTACTGCGTTCTCTTCCATCTCTGCTGCATCAATAGTGGGACTCCGTTTGTTTGCAGCTCTTTGGAAAGAACTGAAGTGCGATTTAGAGGCAGGAGGAAGCTTCACCCCTGCTCTGTGCCCAGGGAGCCCAGGGAGCCTGGGAGGGGTGGCAGGACCCGAGGGACCTGCACAGGCTGGCACAGGCACCACCCAGCCCCGGGGTCAGCTTTATCCTCAGCAATTTGTCACCAATGCTGCTGCAGAGAAGGAAAAGCCTGGAGGGGCAGGCAGGGTCACACACCCGGCTCCCACTGCCATCCCCAGCTGCCAGGACTCACCCAGGGCACCCCAAACTGCAGCCCAGGGCCAGAGGGAATCAAACACGGGCACACAAAGCCCTGCTCATGGCTGGTGCTGGTGGGAGCTGCACATACAGAATTCACGCTTCAATGCAGAACACAAAATACACTTTAAAAGTTGTTTTTGCAGTTTGGTGTGGCCCCTCTTACCTGCTTCCCCTTTCCAGGGTGGGGCCAGAGAATGTCAAGACAACTTTATCCAGATGTTTCTGCACTGGGTGACTCAGAAATCTCTGTTTGTGTCAGGACTTTGTGTTTAACTCCTTTACTCCACCCAACCCAGCCTGAGCCTGTCCCAGGCTCGGGGAGGAGCACTGGGAGTTCTCTCCTGTTTCCCAATATTGAGGCACCTTCCTTCTGTCCCCCTCAAAACCCCAAACTGTGACTGTTCCCAACCAGACCCACAGACCCCAAACTGGACCTGCTCCCACCCAGACCCACAGACCCCAAACTGTGACTGCTCCCACCCAGACCCACAGATTCCTTCTGCTCCTCCTTTATCTCTGCTCCCTCTCTCACACCTGCTCAAAACCAAACCGGTCCCTGCAGCCCAGAATACATTTCAAAGGAACATATAAAAGAGCTTTTATTGACACGAATAAATTGATTGGGACCATTACTCTGGAGCTGCTTGCCACAGAAAAAGCCTCTCACAGGCAGCCCGAGGCAGGGCAGCAACATTTACATTTAGATGAAGGCATCTCTGTCACAACACCTCCCAGCCCTTTCTGGCCCAGAAACTCTCCAGAAGAAATCAGTGAAGCCAAGGAGCCTGGCTTTAAATAACACAAGAGGAAAAGGGAGAATTTGTTTCTGCAATCCACGGCCTGTTGTAGTCTGGAATCACAATCTGCAGCAAAGGAATGTGAAAGCAGAGTGGGGACACCACAGAGTGTTCCTGTACTCCTGAGGGTGCCCTGGCACTGCTTCAAACACTGCTCTGATTCCATTTCATTCAAACACTGCTGCTGATGCCCATTTTGTTTAAAACACCGCTGCTGATGCCCATTTCATTATTTGCCAGTCCATAAAGCACATGAAGCTGTGAAGGAGTGAACTGGAGAGAAGGATAAAGTGACAGCTGGGTGACACTAAAACAACTCAGAGGAAGGAAAAACCTCCCAAGGGAAAAATATTTTATCCAATCCCACCTGTGCTGTTGGAGGCTCTCAGGAGCTCTGCCAAGGTGCAGGTGACAAAGGCACACACTGATGGCTTGTGCAGGTGACAAAGGCACAGCTGATGGTTCCAGCTCTCACCCTGCCACAGCACAACCCCATTAACACAGAACCACAATTTAACACCTTCATTGTTCCATTAATCCGGGGGTAAAAGTCCTCCCCAGCCCCGTGGAATTCATCATTTTACATCTGGAAGCTCAGGATCTGTTCAGCAGCACAGGGCAGCCGGAGCCCCCTCAAGTTCTGCACTGAGCACAAGGAACTAAAAAAAGAAATGTCAAAATAAATAGCAGAGGCTGGGGAAAAGCTCTTTCAGAAGCTATTTGCAGCAGACAGGAGCTGACCTTCCCCTCACAAAATGCCAGGGTATAAACAGAGCAGCCTCGGATGCCATTTGCCATGGAGCCCCTCACTCTGTGTGCTCAGAGCAGCGATTCCCCTGCCTGCAGCCCCAATTCCAGCGTGTTCTGATATTGCCGATAAATCCCAGAGCAGGGAGGAACCTCCCCATGTCCCTCCTGGCCAACCCTGCCCTGCACAGCTCCCGGTGCCATCCCAAGGCTGCCCTGGCACCCGGAGGTGCTGATCCTCACCTGTCACACATGCAGCCATGGGGGAACCACAAATTCATGGAATTGAGGGCAAATTTCAGCTTTTCAGTGAGGGAACTGTGCTGATCCTCACCTGTCACACACTGCAGACCCTGGGGAGCACCAACTGATGGAACTGAAGCCAAATTTCAGCTTTTCAGTGAGGGAACACTGAGTTACTGTGCTGATCCTCAGCTGTCACACATGCAGCCATGGGGGAACCACAAATTCATGGCACTGAAGGCAAATTTCAGCTTTTCAGTGAGTTACTGTGCATCTCCCTCTCTGCAATTTCCCCTGGGGAGGGCAGCTCTGGCCAGCTCGGGGTCAGCTCCGTTCAGCACTGGCACAAATAAGGAAAAAGCTGTTTGCACTTTCTTCTCCCAGGAAAAGCAATTCCCAAAATGCAGCTGCTGGGGTATCCCAGGGTATCCCCAGTAAACTGAGCAGCAATGGGACTCAAGGATGCAGAACTGGAGCTGGACGTGATGCTGATTGTGTACTGTGCATTAAAAACAAAATTATCTCAAAGAGGGAATGAATAAAGGCAAAAAGGACAGGTTTGAAGCCACAGCAGCACCCACACCACCCCAGGTGAGAGCAGCTCCTCTCCCACCAACAACGAGCACGAGACACATTTCACTTGCAGGCACAACCTGGCTGCTGTAGTGTAGCTTGGTTTTATTTATGTCCACAAATATTTCAAAAAAATTACAAAATACTCAAATGGAGAGAACACAGAAGTCACGATTTCTGGGTTTCTACTCTGTTTACACTGTGTTATCCCATGGCAAACTACTCATATATACATTAAGCTTCAAGATATATATAAATGTAGCAGTCAGAATGTACACTCTGCTCAACGGTGCAGTGAAACAAGCTCAACCATGACGACATAGAACAAGAGAGACGCTTCAAAAACACCAAAGCAAAATCTTAAAATTAACTTTTGGAACAGAGGAAAAAATAAAGAGAGATTTCTGGAAAGGAAACCAAAAGGTCTGGGTTGCTTTGTTTAACAGGAACACTGAGATGGCTTCAGAAGCCACTGCAGGTAAAGTTGTAGTTAATCACCGGCTAAAACTGAGCAATTTCAGTGCTTAATTGTGAATCACGTGAACAAAAAAGCTCCCATAAAATTATCAGAATGCTCTTCTGGGAAAAAAAATATCAATGAACAACTTCAGAACAGACTGCAACTTCAGCTGAGAAATAAAGAACACAGAGAGGACCACTGGAGGGAATGAGCTTTTCCTTTTTCTGAAGAACTACGGCTAAAAAACAGCAAGAGAAGGGTCAGAAGAAATGGCTGAAGTGGCTGAACTCTCCCAAACTCCCCAATTGCAGACAGTAAAACAAAAGGAGGGGAGAAACTGAACTGAAATGTGTCTGATGAGACCCTCACAGCACTAAAAGTAAACTGAGGCAGTCTCTGCTGACTGAGCAGGCCCACCCTGCCGGCTGCCCAGCCACGAGCAGGAACAATCCCAGCCCCACAAGGAACCCTGGCACCCCTCACTGCCCCACTCCCTCCACTCCGCCTGACCCCACAACAGCCAGAGCTGACCCAGCAGCACTGACCAAACCCCTCAGCGCTGCAGACTGGGCACAGCGCAAAGGGAATTTCTGCAGGAAATCCCCTGCTCTCCCTTTTCACTGTGGGCTGAGCAGCAGAGGGGGATGAGCCCTGTGCCTGCACTGAGTAACTACAACTTTACCAGCGGGCTCAGGACAGTGCTGGGACACAACCATCACACTGGACAGGCTACAGCAGCAGAGAGCACTCGAGGGTGGAGAGAGAGAACGGGGAGTTGTGCACCAGCAGAAAAAATGAGCAGCAGGTTCAGATGTCCATTGGTCGCATCACCCTCTGCTCCAGCAAACAAAAACTGGGGGGAAAAATTGAAAAACCTGCTTGGTGAGCAGAGCTGTGTCCTTTAATGCTCCCTGTGTGCTCCTCTCCCCTGCCCAGCCTGGGCAAGCACCAAGAGGAGCTGCCCTGTGCCGCTGTCCCAGAGCACCCACAGCTCCTCAGGGACGCTGCCCTGCTGCATTAAGCACTTTCTGCTCATAGAAACCCAAACTCAAACAGCCAAAGACAAAACAGACTGCTCTTTGCAACACAACCGAATGAGAAAGTTGCCAAGTCCACTTTCCTGAAGAGCTCGTGCAGCAGGAGGGCAGGAAAGCAGCTCCTCCCCAGGTATGCACGGCATGCACAACTGCGGCTGCACTGCTGAGCCATCGACAGCTAAAAAAGAGATTTTTGCAACAGATTGTTTCTCTGAACCTTCTGCCCAAAGTCAAACCCAACGGAGCTGGGTTAGGTTTCCAATCTCCCAGGAAAGAAGTGTTTTATGGCCACACAAAAATGAACCGTTGGAGGCGGCGCCCAAAGGGCCAGCGGGGTCCAAGGGACATCTGAGCTGCTGAGAAACCCAACTCAACAAAATCAGCTGCAGAACAGAGAGATGGAACACCAACAAAAACCCCCAAACAACCAAACCAACCGAAAAACCAAGAACAGAAACAGTCATTTGCAACATTATCCCTGCAAATCCCTTTAATGCTTATTGTCGATATCAAACCAAATGTCAAGCTTTTACCCATTTGAAATTATTGATAACCCATCGTTCCCTTTAATTAAAGGGATAATTATATATATATATTTTATTAAAAAATCAACTCTGTATTCTGTCAATACCAGGTAGGAATTCACAATTTGTGATGTTACTGAAAATCAAGATAAACGTTTCTGGAGTTTGTTTTGTTTTGTTTCTCCCCTCTACCCAAAAAAAGTTATTTACAGACTTAAAAAGCCATGCTGCAGAACTGAGCTCTCTTTTAAAATTATGAAGATTTCCTACAATGTATTAAAATAAAAGTAGATTTTTTTTATTATTATAGCACTTGGATTCAGAGCTTGTTATGTCACCTACTTGCAATCCTTGTTTTTTTTTTTAGTTACCTATAGATGCATTGAGTGTCCCTTCACGCACAGTGACTCGTGTTGTGAACCTGATTCTAGCACCTACTGAAAACAAACTAGTAAGAAAAGAAAGAAAAAAAAAAAAAAACAAGATTGCAGGAAGTTCTCTGAATGTTCCACACAGTCCTGTATTTCCAAGAGGCTTCTGAATACGTTTTCATGCAGGGAGACCCACACCAGTCTTGAGAAATCTTCTCTACAAATGAACACTATGCTGATAAGTCTCTACTTGTCGGGTGGTTGCTTCTGTTTTAAATATATAAAGAAATCTTTATAAGATATTCTTTTCCTTTTGTAGCTCTTCTTGTATGTAAAAATGTTCCACTCCTTCCCAAGGACTGGGGTTTCCATTGCCAGCGTTACAAATAAATAATTTATTACAACTGTTTGTCGCCTTCTTTTTTCAGTCGACTGCAAGAGAAAGGAAACTCATTTTAACACATTTTAACAAAGGAGGTGTGAGACACAGGAGATGCTCTGCCCTCCTGCCACCCTGCAGGGAGCAGGGGCTGCAGCTTCTGAACCCTGAGCACTGCCACAGACATACTGGATGAAAAATCCTTTTGTTAGGGTCTTTTCTCCTGAGAAGCTTCAGCTTCTCCATGTTTTGCTGCTTTGGAATGTGATTTGGAGAACTGTTTACCAGCATGTGAATTGTTTTTACCTGATGACCAGTGACAGCCACCTGTGTCGAGGCTGTGAGCAGTCACAAGATTTTATCATCATTCTTTTCTATTCCTTTCAAGCCTTCTGATGAAATCCTTTTCTTCTATTCTTTTAGTATAGCTTTGATATATCACTTTAATATAATATATATAATAAAAAAAAAAAAATCAGCCTTCTGAAATATGGAGTCAAGATTCCCATCTCTTCCCTTGCTGGGGTTGCCTGCAAATTCCACAGAGCAGCACCCTGGGCACTGCCCTGGCACAGGGAGCCCCACAGGTGGGCACCAGTGCCAGCTGTGCAGGTGGGACACGACTGGGGATCCTGCAACAGGACACCCAGCTGCTCCAATGCTGTGCCAGAATCTGGATTTCCCTTCCCAGCTGCCCAGAGCAGCTCTGAGCACAGCTCAGACATCAGGGCCCAGCACACAGCGGGAGGAGCAAACTCCCAGGGAAAAGAAGGAATGTGCAGAAACCCCTGGAAGCCCCAGGTGCCCCATTCCCCCTGGCAGGCTCACCTGTAGTAATCTTCCTGACTGGGGAGGTGCCCGCCGTGCATGTGGGGGTGGCCGTGCAGCCACTGCTGCTCCATGGCCAGTCTCTGCAGCTCCGCCGACTGCGCGTGCATGGCCTGCAGCTGGTGCGCTGCTGACATGGGAGGGGGGATGGCCCCGGGCAGGTCCCGAGGGTAGGGGGTACCTGGGGGCACAGGCAGCACCTTCACACTCTGCTTTGCTCCTTGGCCACCCCAATGAACCACCCAGCCCACCCAAAGCACAGCTCGCTCCCCCCGCTGAGAAATGTGAAACCCCACGACAAAAGATAACGCTGCAGATCCAAGCCCAGCCCTGCAAAGCACCACAAAATGCTCTCACCAAAGACTGGATGCCGGAGCATTTCATGCTCGTGAGGTGGCTGCCCTAGCAATGGGTTGGGGATGGTCCCAGGTGGGTAGGGAAAACGTGCCAGGTGGGGTCCAGCTGCTAAAGGATCCACCAGGGGATGGACAGGTCCTGCTGAGCCTGAGAGAGAAGGAGAGAAAGAGTTTCCACAGGGGAAAGGAACAGAGAGCCAGAACAATTCCTTCAGCTGGTGCCCAGCACCAATGTTCATCCCCACTCTGAGGAGACACAGGGGCTGTAACAGCCCTGAGCACCAGGGGAGCCACCTGGAGCAGGAAGCACCCAAGAGCCCCTGACTGTGCTTGAACCTGGCAGAGCACAAAGCCAAATTTGGCTCAAGCACACACAGAGCCTTGGCAGGGAACTGCCCTGGCTGTGTCTGCAGCAGCCTCTCTCTGCACTGGGACAATGCACAAGCCATGGTTTTGTCCAGAACAAGCACCTGGGGAGCATCCAGCCTCACCTGCACAGACGTGCTCCGTGACTGCCTCACCTGGCAGCAGAGTCCTTGTACACACAGCCTGGGTCACATTTCCTGTGCTGCCAGGGGCTTTGCACACCTGCTGCACCTGAGCCCATCTGTGATTTCTGCAGGGAGCCTCAGCAGCTTCAGGAACGCTGAAATTCAGCATTCTGCCATCCCTTACCTGCAACCCCCCAGCCCTCAAGAACCTCACACCACCCTGCTGCTTTCCTTGCTGTCCAACCTGGCTTGTGCAGCAGCGCTCACATTCCCTCCAACTCCAACAGTGGCCATCCCAGCACATTTCATGGACACTGCTCCAGGGCAAAGGATTCTACATCTGCTTGCACAAACACTGCATTGGTAACCAGACACCAGAACCTGCATTTTACTCCGATTTTCCCCTCCCCTCCCTTGGCAGCTGCAGCACCTGGTGCCTGGTTCTCTCCACTCTGTCATGAGAAAATGTGAAAATTCCTGCTGAGTGCCTCATCTCCAGGGCTCCAGACCTCTGGAGCAGTAACCACATATCTTGCTACAGAAATGGGCAAGGCACAGATCCATTTCTGAGACTATTAGTTATTCCAGCTGTAAGGTGCTGCTCTAGGACAGCAGTACTTAAAAAAACCAACCCACAACAAACCAGCAAACCTTTCACAGTGAGAGTCTGAAGGAAGATCACTGTGGTGTTACCATCACTCTAACAAAAAGTAGCTGCATTTTAGTTACCACAACCGTCCACGCCATAGGACCACAACATAGACATGAAGATAGGGATTTTGCTGTTTGAGTTCCAGGGTCACACTGGGCCCATCCTGAGCCGCTCCCCAGGGCAGTGCCAGCTGCCAGGGCTCACCTTGGTGTAGGGGGTCCTGCTGGTGTAGGTGTAGATGCGAGTGTATGTGCGAGTGCTGGTGGTGGTGGGGGGTGACGTTGAACATCTGCAGCCGCGCCAGGGGGTCGTTGGTGAGCGAGGCCATGCGCTCGGCGTGGATGCGCTCGGCCGCCAGCCTGTCCGGGTAGCTCATCTCCGGCCGCAGCTGCGGCCCCGCCAGCGCCAGTCTCTCCCTCTCCAGCGGGTTGAGCCCCGGGTGGAAGGAGGCGAAGGGGTGCGGCCCCGCGGCGGGCGGGATGGTCAGCGCCCCGTGCCTGGCGAAGTGCTCCATGGGGTTGGCGGCCGGGTGCAGCGCGTCCAGCTCCGGCGGCTTCACCTCGAAGCCGGGCTTCATCCTCTCGCGCAGCTCCCGCTCGCGGATCTCGCGCTCGCGGATCTCGCGCTCGCGCAGCTCCCGCTCGCGGATGCCGGGGTCCACGTTGTACAGGCCGGGCATGTGGTAGGCCAGCAGCGGGTCCGTGGGGTTCAGGGGCACGAAGAAGGGGTGGTTGCGGTTGGTCGGGGACATGACGTGGGGCCGCGCGTACTCGCTGAGCGTCCGCAGCGCCGGCGTGTCCGGCCCGATGTACGGCGGCACGGCCGCGATGGTGGTGGGGGGCGGCTCGAAGGACGGCCTCATGTGCGCCGGCCCGCTGAGCTGGGACTCGCCCAGGCGGCCCTCGTGGGAGGAGCTGGACACCTTCTGCTGCACACAGCGGGGAAACAGCCTCAGGTCAGCACAGCTCAGCCACACACACATAAACACACACCCCTCCCCTCCACCGCCAGCCCCTCTGCCAGGACACGGCACTCGTGTGCCTGCACAGGGCACAAAGGCATTCCCTGCGTCTGCACGGCGCTCTCCTGCTGCAAGGTAAATGCCAACATTGGCCTCGTTCTGCCCAGCTGCTCTGGCTTCCCACAGACCCAAACCTGGGGCAGAAACTCTCCATGTCCTTTAAGGAGAAGACAGTCCCAGGCAGGTCAGAGGTGCTCAGAGCGGGCTGGATTTCAGTCCATACACACAGCTCCAAGCTCAGAGACCCCTGACAGGGTTTAAGTGCTCCTGGGGATCTGCATCCCGCAGCCATCACCCAGGTCAGACCCAGGCACCAATCCTCTCCCCCAGCTCTGAGCCAGATCTGCACCTACCGCAGCTCTTTCCGCTTCTCGCTCACGCTCCCGCTCCCGCTCTCTTTCCTTCTCTTTCTCTTTTTCTCTTTCCCTCTCTTCCCTGGCTTTCTGCTCCGCTTCCCTTTTGGCCTTTTCGATGGCCTCTTCTCTCTTCTTGGCCAGTTTGGATCCTGCCAGGGGCATGAAGTACAGGTCTGCCCTGGAGCACGAATTGTAGCCACGGTCCAGGTGCTTATAGAACCTGAAAGGAACAAAACAGAGAAGAGCTCAGCCCTGGGAAAGGTGCAAAGCGTCCAAACTAAAAAATATCATTCTACACTTAGACCAAACAGTACCAGCTTCCCAGGAGAAAATTCACTGTACTGCACTGGTTTTACACACACAGACAGCGGAGTACAAAGCAGGGAAAGCAGAGCACTGATGAAAGCTCCTCACCTGGCTGACTGGCTGGCGTGGCTGGGGATGTCCACCACCGTGGGCTCTGGGGACGGGCTCCGGGGTGGGGGTGGAGGGCTCTCGGGCTCCTCAGCCTCATCGGGGGCCTCCTCCTTGATCTGGATGGGTGGCAGCGTGCAGGCCGTCACCACGGGCACCGTCCCACTAGAGGCTGCTGACGTGGAGATGGGGGTCTGCAGGGGGATGCCAGGCACGGTGGGCGGCGTGGAGGTGGAGGGGCACGACGGAGGCGTGATGGAAGGGGGGCCCCCGGGCACAAAGGGGTGCTGGGAGAAGGGGGGCTGCGAGGAGACCTGATGGAGTCCGGAGGGAGGGTGACTGGCGGGAGGAGGAAGGCTCTGGCTCTGGGTCAGAACGGGAGGCTGGGCCTGAGAGGACTGCAGAGGCTGGCTCTGAGGCATCAGCTGCAGGGGAGGAGGGTGTGCCGAGGGAGGGTGGTGAGTGGACAGCGAGCTCAGCGGCTTCAGAGCGGGCGGCGGGGGCAGGTTGGAGTTCATGGAGAAGGGAGACGGCCCCGAGAGATGGGGAGGGTGCTTGTGGGCCGGGGCGGTGGGCAGCTGCGGGATGGGGGTGGTGGGGGGAGGTTTGATGTGAGGCATGGCCATGGGGGCGGGCGGCAGAGGCTGCTCACGGGGAGGCTGCGCCGGCTGCAGCGAGGCCGCGCCGGGCAGCACGGGCTGCGCCGCCTGCAGCCCCGAGTGCGAGTGGGACGGGGCCTGCGTCTGGAGGGGCACCTGAGACTGGGCGGGCTGGGCGGGCAGGGAGAAGGGCTGGGCAGCCCCGGGGCCGTGGGGCAGCAGCGGCTGCGCCTGCAGGCCGTGCGGGGCGGGCTGGGGCTGCCCGTGCGGCGGGGGCTGCGCCGGGGCGGGCGCGGGCTGGCTCTGGGACACGCTCAGGGGCTGCAGGGGAGGGTGGGGGGACGGGACTCTCTGCGGGTGCAGCGCAGGCGCCTGCTGGATGTGCGAGTGGGGAGCGGGGGGAGCAGAGGGCGGGGGCTGGCCCGAGGGCTGGGACGCGGGCGGCGACGCCTGCGCGGGCGCCGGGGCGGCGCTGGACGCGGGCGGCGGCGCCGGCAGCGGGGCCGGCACCGGCGGCGCGGGAGCTGCGGCCTGGGCAGCGCCGCCCGGGGCCTGCAGCGCCTGGGGCTGCGCCTGCAGCACTTGCTGCTGGGCCGAGGAGTCCGAGTCGCTCTCGTTGTCCTGCGGGCTCGGGATGCTGGGGGACGTGCTGCGGTTGTCCTGGTCGATGTCCTTGGGGTCGCTGCTCCCCTCGTCGTTGACGCTGCGGCTGTCGGAGCTCTCGCCCTCGCCCTCGCCCTCCGACGGGGAGTTGGGCCTGCTCATCTCCTGTGGGGAGAGGAGACCACTGAGCCCGGGACAAGCACTCCAGGGGTGCTGCAGAATGGGGTCTGTCACACTGTGCAGACACGGGCGCCCTTTGAACCTCACAGGGCCCAAACCAGCACAGGAACACAAACACCCAAGGGAAGTGCAAAGACAGCAGAACCAGATCCCACAGTACCCAGGGGCAACAGGAACAAACTGAAATACAGGAGGGGTCCTGCTGAACATAGCAAAACTCTTCTTCACTATGAGGGTGACCAGCAATGGAAAAGATTTGTGACAATTCCAGTGGCGGTCTTCTAACTTGTCAGAGAAGACAAAAACTCAAATTTAAATTTACAAAAAATGGAGGAAAGGAGTGGAGAACAATCCAGTGTACTCCTATAAGGCTGATATTAATATTAAAACAAAGAAAAAACCCAACTTCTGGACTTACCCCATATCACTCCACTGTTTTCAGCAGGAGGAACACATTATAACATTGGTCGCTTTCCAGCCACAAGATTAAGTTACAATTTGCTGTGGCTTAAATTGATTTAATGTTTTTGGTTTGTTACCAGATTTGCACTCCTCCCCACCTCAAACCATTCTCCTAAGAGGAAACACTCCTGTGTGGGACTCACTTGAGTTTTGGATTTTTTGGCATTGGACCTGTCAGGTTCTTCTGTGTCAGATGCTGCCTTCTCCCGCTGCCTCTTGGAGTTCTTGAGAGGAGAAGAAACCTCTTCCTTTATCTTCTGCCACAACGGGAACAGAACACAACACTCACCAGTGGTGTAAATGCAAAGGTAAGTTGAGTGTAGGCCAGTGCCACCCTACTAACACAGATTAAGGAGCAGCAGAACTCAGGGGTTGGCACAGTCAGTATTTAAGAGCACTCCAATGCACATCAAACTGGTAGGAAGAAGGCAAAGTGCACAAAGCATTCCTCATATGAAGGGATATTTTAAAGAGAGCTGGGCAGAACCAAGTCCAGGAGGAACTCACGGCAGACCCAGGTTACCCTTCCAACATAGACCAACACCAGTTATTAACTGGTGCAAGACAGAGCCAGAATTTCTGCAGGAGACAGGATAAACCTCCTTCTGCTGCATGCAAGTCTTGCTCTACTCTTGATATTTTGAGAGGAATATTTTTAGATCCCCTCAAATACAGGGCCAAGAGTGAATAGCTATTCTGAGATTACTACCTTCTCCCATGGCCTGGAAAAGCTCTGTGCATCACATAATTACCTAACTTTAAATTCTGCCGAGTTTTCAGTTTTATAATGTGAAAACTTACTCCATGCTCATTTTGACTTTTTTAAATCTGTGTAATATTTATTTTTAACTTGCTACTTCTCAATTCACACTGCTTAATGGTAAGCCTTCAGCTTCATGTGGCTTTGTTTCTTTAGAGCTCCCTTGGAAAGGCACTCAGTTCATTTGAAGAGACTCAACTGTCAGCTTGCTCTGAACAATCAAACAAATACACCTCCAGAAAACAGTAGCAGAAGCAGAATCAATTACTAAATGCTCATACTCCTTTGTAAACAAAGATTAAGTACTGCTTACAAAAAATCCCCAAAACTGTCTACTAGTCTTAAATTCAGCATTTCTGATCTGCATTACTCCCCTGAGCTTAATGCTTGCATTTGCATCTGAAGTGGGGGGATTACTTTACTGTGAGAGCAGGGAGGTGATGTGGGGAGGTTGGATCACTCCCACCCCTCCCTGGCCAGCTCCAGGCTGCCCCACTCTCTGCCTTACCCACACTCACGGGGCTTTTGGGTCGTGGAGAGATTCCCCAGCCTCCTGTACCTGCCTGAAGGGCCTCAGGTGTGCAGCCCTGGCTGGGGGAGCCCAGGGAAGGGTTACCTGCCCAAGAGGCCTCAGTATTCAGCCCAGGGAAGGGTTACCTGCCCAAGAGGCCTCAGTATTCAGCCCATGGGAAGGGTTACCTGCCCGAGAGGCCTCAGTATTCAGCCCAGGGAAGGGTTACCTGCCCAAGAGGCCTCAGTATTCAGCCCATGGGAAGGGCTACCTGCCCAAGGCAGCCCAGGGAAGGGTTACCTGCCCGAGAGGCCTCAGTATTCAGCCCAGGGGAAGGGTTACCTGCCCAAGGCAGCCCATGGGAAGGGTTACCTGCCCAAGGCAGCCCAGGGGAAGGGCTACCTGCCCGAGAGGCCTCTCCTGGCAGGCAGAGCCCATGGGAAGGGTTACCTGCCCAAGGCAGCCCAGGGAAGGGTTACCTGCCCAAGAGGCCTCAGTATTCAGCCAATGGGAAGGGTTACCTGCCCAAGGCAGCCCAGGGAAGGGTTACCTGCCCGAGAGGCCTCAGTATTCAGCCCATGGGAAGGGTTACCTGCCCGAGAGGCCTCAGTATTCAGCCCAGGGAAGGGTTACCTGCCCAAGAGGCCTCAGTATTCAGTCCAGGGAAGGGTTACCTGCCCAAGGCAGCCCAGGGAAGGGTTACCTGCCCGAGAGGCCTCTCCTGGCCGGGGCTGCCCAGGTGTGGGGTTACCTTGGTGGATTTCTTGACAGACTCGGCCTTGCTGTCGTTGCTGGAGGTGCTGGCGGCGCTGGGCGAGTTGCGGCCGCTGGAGCGCACGTCCTCGGCGATGGGCGAGGCGCGGCCATCGGGGCTGGCCGCCTGCTTCTTCCTGCCACTGCGTAGGGTCGACATCTGGGGACGACAGCCCGGTCAGCTCAGCACTGAGGGGCCCCTCAGAGTGCTCTGCCCCGGCAGGGCCATGGGGGGCACGGCCCGGCACCAAAAACCTGCAGCGTTTCTGCACTTCGTCCTTCAAAGCCCAACCGGACTCAAATGTAAAAGGAGGCAAATCCTAATTCTGCCTACTCACAAGCATTAAGTGCTGATTATTTCATCAGCAGTGTCTGTTAGAAATGGCATTCAGGAAGATGTTCCCATACGCAGCACACACACAAGGGGGCAGAGGCAGGAGAGGAGCCCATGTTCCATTAAGAATGCTCCATCTGCTGGCAGTCAAGGCCAAGGTCCAAACTCCCAGTTCCAGCGTGCTCCTGCTATGCTTTAGAAAGCACAGAGCTCTATCTGACTATCTACTCCATCAGTAAGGGATCAGGAGAGCACATTTCAATAATTAATGCTGTTTTCCTGCCAGTTTGGCACTTTTCTGGAGGACTGACTACGAAAGCCAACACTCCCCAAGAGTGGAGCCTCACGAGGTATTTACAATCAATGGTCACATCATCCTCTTCAGAAAGACAGAGAGGGGAGGGCAAGGAAAGAAATCTATCTGCTGCTTTCCCTCAGCTAAACCCAACTCCAAGATAAATCACCCAGAGCTGCTCCTGGTGCCCCACTCGAGTCACAACTCAGAGCACACCAACCACAGAGGCAAAGCAGAGCTCTCTGAGGGAAGAGGCTTTAACTCCAGTAACATGAGGAGACCACATGAACACCATCTGATTTTAATCCCTCCCAAGGGCACAGCTCTGACAGGATGCAGCTGGAAGGAGGACATGCACTAGCACAGGATCTGCAGTGCACTGCCAATGCCCCCTCACGGTGACAGCCCACTGCCAGTCATGACAGAGAAATAGCACAGCTTGCAGGGACATTCCATCCCCTTTTCCAGAGACAGCTCAGCCTCAGCAAAGCTCCCCCTGGCACACACAGGCAGCAGGAGCAGCTCAGCCCATGGCAAACCAGTTCAGGGCCCTGGCTCCCTTTGCCCCTGCCCTGAGGAGGGTGAAACGCACCGAGCCTCGACTGCGCCGTGTCCTCATGCTATGCTTCCCGCTGAGGCCATCGTCTTCCTCCTTCACAGGCTTGAACATAAAGGGGGGGGGGTCCACGGGCTTCTCGATGGGCGGCAGCTCCCCGTACTTCTTGAAGTGGATGCGGCAGTCGGTGCACAGCAGGATGTTCTCCCGGCCCCCGTGGTGCCAGTCCTTGGAGGCTTGGGGCAGGGAAAGCAACAGCTCAGCACCCACAGAGCATCCAGCCCAGCACGAACACAGCAATTGTTAAAAAAAAGCTGATTTTCTATGGGTAACAAGTTTCTGGAAAAGTCTGTCCTGTCCCAGCGCACACCCTCAATATTCAATTTTTACCAACTACGGTTGCTTGCTTAAGAAACTCCAGCTTTGAGGCACAGAAAGAAACCTTATCTGCTCTACCTGGGAGCTAACAAGCAGCTGTTGTTCTTCAAAGCTGTGGTTTCTGCAAGAGAAGTGAGCTGTGAACCTCTCATTTCCTTCCCCATTCTGGGGCTTCCACTTTCAGCTGCAAATGCCCCAGCACCAGACAACCTTTGGGAGCAGCCACAGCAAGGGGGCGGATGCACAGGAGATTTGGTGCAGCACCAGGAAGTTTAGTGTGTGACAGCCACAGCCCAACAGTGACTCATTATGCCCCAAACTGATTACATAGATTATGGATTATGCAGATTTATGCCTGTCTAAATGTCTACCTCGGGCTCCCCCTCTGTCACCGCAGTATTAATGTGCAATGGCAAAGCCTGATGAACTCTGCTAGGAACGCTGCATATTTCAGCTGAGAGCAGCTGCCCCAGCTCAGGAGCTGCTCGTGCTGGTGCAGCCAGCCCCAGGGGAGCAGAGGGGAGCCCCAGCAGGGCTGGCACTGCACTGGCACTGGCACTGGCACTGGCACGTACTGGTGGTGAAGCAGTGGCGGCAGGCGTAGCCCTTCAGCTCCTGCTCGCTGTCCTCGCTGTCAAAGTCATCCTCACTGGCCGAGCTCAGGTCCACTGAGGGTGGGAGAGAGAGAGGAAAATGGAAAATCAACACTCAGCAGGATTTTCTATTTCCTCCTACTTGGCTAAAATAAGCACTAAGTGGAATGGATCGTGACTCCCCACGCCCACTCTGCCTTGCATGGCCATTATTGCTGATTCTTCACACTGAGCAAAGCCAGATCTCATCACGCTGCAGGTTCAAGAGGATCCCAGGAATGTGCCAAGGGATTCAACTCCTGGAACCTCTGATTCAGCACGTGCTACATTTCCAGGTAAGTTGTCATTCAAATACCATCCATGGGGAGGTCAAGAGGCTATGTTCCAAACCCACGATTTTCAAGAGAAAAGGCAATTATCTCTAGAATCTGGTCAAATTTGAAATAAAATATTCTACATTTAAAACCTACAATATCCCATGAACAGGCCCTGCAGTAGCTTTTCTGATTTTTATTTTGTTACCCAGCAGCAGAGGTGTTTGTGGGTGGAGGAATCAACGCTTACATACCATGGACCTGTTTGGAAAACATGTTGAGATCCTTTTGCATGAGAGGCACTAAAGGATAACTAACACCAGCTCTCGTGTCCTTAATGCAGGACTCAAAGTTTTAACCTGTGGCACACTCACACTGCAAAAATGTCATGTTCTGAAGAAGAAGAGAATATGCAAAGGGTCCCTCTCCTTTGAGGCAAATTAGCTGATTACACATCTATGAGCTCAAAAGCAGCATCTAAAGCACTGAAAATACGCAGACATCACAAAAGCTGTATCTTACCTTCTAAACACCTCAGGAGTAAGTATTTCCCTTTTGAGAGCACTGCACTGTTCTAGTCCCACCACTATAAATTCACAACACAACAGGGCTGTAATTTGGCACAAGCAGGAAGCCCTGAGGCTTCTTCTGTTCAAATCTTTAATTAGAAGAGAGGTCCTTGATACAGGAACAGTGTTTTTCTAAAGGCTCCAAGAGGATGTTTTGTACATGCAGGTTATAGTTTATGGATTAAAGCTCACGGATTCTCCTGTACTTGCCATCAGCATTTGTCAGCAACTCATTACCCTTCAAATTAACACAGGGTTACATTTAATAGCTACCACTGCTCTGATTCCTACATTAATACTTGCAGGTGCTCAAACCCTGACTGCAGAGCTGACCCCAGGCTAGCACTTGTTTCTTTTGCCAAATGAATTGTGACTCTCATCCTGCAGTCAGGTCCATAGGATGGGTTCCCCCAGCCACAAGCTCTCACAAGCTGAGTATGTGGGATTGAGCTGTGGAGTCCAGATCCTCACTCCTTGTGCACAGCAGTAACTCCCACCAGCTGAGCAGGGAAAGCTCCCAGCCCTTTCCTGCTCCCTCCCTTCTATCCTGGATAGAATTCTGTGTCCAGCCTGCCCACCACATCCTCCACCAGCCCTGGTCATTATTACATCTGCCTCCCACAGCCCCTTTTCTCTATGTGGCTTTAGGAAGATTTAAACCTCCCAGGGTAACAAACCCTTCCCATTTGGACAAAGGTTTCTGTCCCTGTAGGGACCCTGCACGAGGCAGCAGGCACTGCTCTGGGGAATTGCTTTGGGTCGGACACTTCTGCTCCAGGCAAGGCCACTGCCCCTCCAAGGCTGCCTGGGACAGTCTGAGCTCCAGCAGAGGGTAGGGATTGCCCAGAAGGATGGAAGGGACTTCTTTCCAAAGACAGGGAGCCCTTCCTTCCTTCCTTCTGTGCTTCCCAATCCCCATTACTGTAACAAGCCTGGAGAACATACAACACAGCACCAAGAAAAAGCGCGGGGAAACCCAACCCCAGGGCAGCACTTCCATCCCCACAGGACGCTTTAATGCTTAATGCCTGCACACATCCCTGGCTGACCAAAGCCCCGCTCCAGCAGCACGGTGCAGGAGCAGGGAGGGCGGCTGCCCCAGCCCCATTTCCCGCTGTCCCTGGGATGCGTGGCACCTGCTCCCTGCCCGGCAGTGCCCAGCCGGGGCTGCACTCACAGAACTCGCTGGAGGGGGGCCTGGAGGGGGTGTTGACGGGCGTGGAGGCCGTGCGGGTTTTGATCCTGCGGAACACGGCCTGGCGCCGGTGCCGCCGGTGCGCGCGCGAGCTCGCCGCCTCGGGCGTCTTCTTCCAGTAGTAATAGAAGGTGATCAGCTCCCCCTGCAAGCACAAACAGCACAGAGCACGGGGTCAGAGGGACTGCAAACCTGCCTGCCAGCCCCTGCCTCCCCCGGCTCGCTGGGATCTTCCCAGCAAGAATCATGATGGATTTCAGCCAGGAAAAAAGAACTGTTCAGGTAAGACACACAAAAAACACTCATTATTGGCTGCTCGCTTTTGCAAGAGGAGGAAAATAAGCAAATAAATGCTTTTTCACTCCTCCCTGAGGAAAGGAAAGAGGCTGGGAAGCACCAGGAGCCAGCCTCCACCTGGATGCCTCAGAAGAGGGTGCCCTTGTGTCACTGTCAGCGTGCCCTGGCACCGAGCTCTGACAGCCACCCCAAAGCAGACAACAGCCACTCCAGATTTGACTGCCACCCCAAAGCTGACAGCCACCCCAGACCTGATAACAACCACCCCAAACCCAACAGCCACCCCAAACCTGCCCCAGCTCCTGCTGTCCACAGACAGAACAAGGCTCAGCCCAAGCACACTCTGCCATTCTGTCAGCCATTGTTCAATATTCTGTAAGGAGCTGGAAGTTTGAGTACAAACGTGTTCAACAACAAGTCTATAACCGTAACACAACCCCACCACGCTAAATCGTGTTTTAATTTGAATATATATACCCACATCTAAATTAATTAAGCAGTTAAAAGAGCACACCTAGAGAAATGAGTGATAATTTCACAGCGTAATGAATCTGGCTTACATTCAGGAAGTGCAGCAGCTGCCATTCAAACCTGGGTTTGCAAGGCTGAACCAAAGAACAGCATGTGGTTTTAATCTCTTTTCTCTTACTTTGAAACCCCATCATTTCCTGGCGACTTGTCTGCCTCTAAGGTAAAAGGTGTTGTTGCTTTCAAGTTGCAAGGGAAAAACGGAGAAGTTCTAACCAGCCCCTTGAAAAAATCAACATCAGAACAAACATACCTGAACTGCCCACAAAAAGGGTTTCTTTGAACTGTGTTTTGTGTGATCAAATAACCTCGGCCTGCTGCCTCCGTGGGGAAATGCGGCAGCCCCTGCTCCGGGCAGAGCAGGAGTTAACTCCAATAACGACCCTGCCTGAATGCAAACCCTCCCCAGGGCCCCAAACAGGCAATTACAGCCACAGCCAATACCTGCACCACTGAAACGCTGCAAAGACAAAGGGAGGATGTTGTTCTAGACATTAACTGCTGACATTTAAGACACTTAAGAATTTTACCAGTGCCTAATTTAAAAATAGAAACCCCAGAAGAAAGAACACGACCACATTCTGGCAACGGGCAGAACAGATCATTTTTAATCTGCGCTGCCACAGACTGGGATGATGCTGCTGATCCCCACCATGGAACTGTGTTTGTGTTTCATGTATTAAATTAACAAATATTCGCAGTGATGGCTGGGGAGGAGGAGCAAGGGGGCAAAACGTTACCTACAATTCTTGATTCTGAGGGACTAAACCCTACTAAGAATATTAAAAATGTGTTTCCTGCAGAGGATCTGAAGCTGCCTGGTGATGAGCACACAATGCTCACGGCAAACTGGGCAGAGCAGCAGCTCTGGGCCCAGCACCCTGCTTGTTTGCTTTAGAAATGCCATTTCCCTGAGCCCATCCAGCGGGCTCAAAGTCCACCCAGGCCAGCTGTTTGTCCACTTGGGGCTGCGCCCGTGCCAGGGCCAGCCTGGGCTCTGCAGGGAGGCCTTGGCAATGCTCTGCACAGGCTCAAAGCCTCCTGCAAATGAAACCGGTCGTTTTTTACCTATAAATTCATTTGTACCAAATCTGAGGTGTCGGCACCAAGGAGCAAGTCAGTAAATCCCATGTCTTTATGTCAGTGAATGAATGTGTCCTCTGACACACGGCAACAGCAGAGTGGGAGCCAATCTGTTCTCCTCCCACCATAAAATAGGGAATGGGAACCTATTAGAGCTCCATTTACACATTGCAAAGCCATCAGGTCCCGAGGGAAGTTTAACAATTTATACATGCAGATCATAAAGCAAAGTTTAAAAAAGAAACTGTGGATATTTATAGAAATGCCAGCCTCATGACCATAATGCTTTTCCCCCCTGAGACTGGCTCAGAAGTGCAGTCACAACTGCACAGGGATAAAGATGAAGTCAAAGTCTGTTTATCCAACAACCAGTTTTACCCCAGGTAAAAAGGACCAAAGAATGAAAGGACCAAAGAATGCAGTTCATGGTCAGAGTGCACAGTGCAGCACTCAGGAAAGGGCTCAGGGAGCAAGAGAGCACTCAGAGGGGCAGCACACACAGAATGCCAGGTTACACGGGTACCCGCTGAAGGGATTCCCTGCAGGATCCCCTGGGCTGCCCAGGATGGCACTGTGTGCCCAGGGATAAATGCTGGGGCTCAGCCTGGCAGCATCACCCCCATCCTGATGCCCAGGATGGCACTGTGTGCCCAGGGATAAATGCTGGGGCTCAGCCTGGCAGCATCACCCCCATCCTGATGCCCAGGATGGCACTGTGTGCCCAGGGATAAATGCTGGGGCTCAGCCTGGCAGCATCACCCCCATCCTGATGCCACTGTGTGGGTTCAGCCTGGCAGCATCACCCTTCTCCTGCTGCCTGCATGGGTGGCACAGGCTGCAGCACAAAGGGCTGAGTCAGGCAAGCTCAGGCTCCCCAAACAGGGAGCAAAAGCAGCTCCCAGCCTCACTGCAAGAAGTCAAATGAGCTTTAATCAAACATGCACGGTGCGCGCTGCTGAAAGCCAGGGCACATAAATTCGGGAACAAAAGCTGCTGCAGAAATCAATAGCCTCCTGAAACATTAACACAGGCCAGCATTGATCAAAGGCCCTGGGACAAAAGGCTGCCTTGCAAATTGGCTGCTGCTTTTGCTTGCAAGCAAACACGGAGGCATGAACGCTGTGACACGAATGGCCCGCAACGATCGTTTTGTTGGGGTGATCTCACCTCGGCTCACCACGAGGTCTCGCAGTCAGCACATCCCACATCCCCGAGCCGTGCCAGCCTGGCAGGGCTGGGCAGCTGCTCCAGAGCTCTTTCTGTGGCTCCCAGGCCATCAGCAGGGCCAGCCTGCCGTGCCAGCCTGCAAACACAGCAGTGGCCTTGTCCTGCGGCTGCTCGGGCAGGCTGGCCACGGCCGCAGCACAGCAGAGGCACAGCAACAGCCTGGCCATCCCATCCCTGAAGATGCTGCCAATGCCCTCCCAAACCACCTCCAGGCCCAGCTTTCTCTTTTCCAGCACTGTGGGAGCAGACTCCTTTCCCCTCCTGGTCACGCAGCCTCACCTTCCCTCCACACACCAGCACCTCTCCTTTCCTGCACACACAGCTCCGTGTCTCCATGTGAACATCTGATTAACTGTCCCCAACACTCAGAAAGCAAAATGAGAAGCATTATTCAGGCTTTTAACGGCACATTTCCCTGACAACACCGACATTCCCAAGTTTCACAAGGCAGAGGGGATTATGTTCCTCACTGAAAACACCAGTTCAGCTTTCAGCAGCTCTGAAATGCACGCAGAGCTCACACTCCAGTCTGCTGCCTGCTCCTGCCAAGGCCATCTCACCCCTCCTCGTAGGTGCATATACAAAAGTCACACTTCATCTCCTTTCAGCTGTGTTCTGCAGGTTATTTCTGCACAGGGAGAGGATTCTGCAGGTTATTTCTGCACAGGGAGAGGATTCTGCAGGTTATTTCTGCACAGGGAGATGAGGCTCAGACCCCTCTGCAGAGGTCATCAGAGCAGCCCCTCTGCCTGCAAACCCTGCTTTTCTATTTCTGATCAGCAATGTTCCAATGTAAAACCCAGAGCCCGAGCTGTTTGTGTTCAGTCCTGCCTGGCACACACAGGGTCAGGGCTGGGTGTGCATCCCTGGGCAGGAGGGCTCCGACAGCTCCTGCACAAGCCAATGCCACACACACCAGCTTCCCTGCAAGTATCTGTTAGGGTATAACACAGTGAGCAAACACAGTAATTGCTGTTTAATTTCCCCAGAGCCGAGCTCTGACAGGAAAAAAAAAAAAAAATCATGGAGGAGGGGAATAGCTTTGCAGTAATGAAAGAGAAAAAGTAAATGACAGCACTCCTCACTGGCTGCAACAGCCATGGCAGGGCAGGGGGAACACACTGTCCAGCTGTGGCCTTAATGAATTCACAATCTTTCTGGAATGCCTCAAGATTTTATTAAGTCAACTCAATTTAGCTAATACTTATAAAGTCCTGCAGTAAGAACAGTCTCCAGTGCTTCCCTGATGCCCTGGCACAGGGCAGGAGCAGAACACGGGTTTGGATCAAGGCAGAGTGGAACACACTGAGCCGGGGCAGGTCACAAATAACCCAGGACACTGCCCTGCACATCAGGAGACAGAACTGAGAACATCCAGCCCTTCCATCACCCAGCCAGGGCAGGGGGGAACCAGCACCCCTGCAGTGTACGTGACACCTGGGACAGGGCAGTGGTGACCATGGCAGGGCTGGGTTAGCCTGGACTCCATGATCCTGGAGGGCTTCCCCAGCCTCAGTGACTCTGTGCCTCGTTCTTCTCATGATCCACACCCAGCGAGAGGAGAGGGGAACCCCTGCACAAGCTGGAGGGTGAGAGGAGCAGCTGTGAGAGCCCAGGAGCTGCAGGGACCATTGCTGCAGTGACAGGCTCAGCTCCATCCTCTGCCAGCCATGACAAACAGCCCTGCACATGCTCTAATTAAGCAGCAAGTCTCAGCAGCCTGTTCAGTAGCACTGATTCATGTCCACCTCGGGCGCACAGGAATCCTGCATATTCCAACACATCACTGAGGTTTTAAGAGAGGCTTTTAAAAACCAAGCAATACTTCACTTAACACTACAAAAAGCCCCATTAAAAATGGTGGGACGCTCTCTGAGGAGTCCCCTGCAGGTCTGGGCTCCCTGGCAGATGTCAGAAGCACAAGTACAGCCATTTCACCCTGCAGCCCCTCTTTGCAGGCCGTTTGTCACCTCCTGGGTGGCAGCACAGCCCTGGCTCCCTGGCCCCTGC